GCACCCCCCTATCCCCAAAAGTTTCTCAGCGGATTTGGGCTGTACTCAGCAAGCACAATACAGCCCCCAACTCAGATTTGAAAAAATCAGTGGATGGCTGTTTTCTGAGTGGTCGGCAGACTGCCGACCACTCAGCCCTACTGGTCGGCTGCAAAACAGTCGGCGGCCGGAAGGTATGCAACCCTGATCTTCATCTTGTTTCTCCCCTCCTCTCTCGCCGGGCAACTTTTCGCCAAGAGCTCTACTTCCGCCCATCGGCGATTGACCTCCTGACTCCCCCATCGCTTTACCTCCCTTCTTCTTCTTCTTCTACTTCTTAATTGACCTCCTGACTCCCCCATCGCACTCCCTCCCTTCACTCTCTTCTTCTTCTTCTTCTTCTTCTTCTTCTTCTTCTTCTTCTTCTTCTTCTCGAACACGAACTTAGTTACCTCTTCCCCACTCCCCCCTCTTCCTTCGCACTTCCCCTTTCCCCTCTTCTTGTTCAGCCTGCCCCGTCGCCCATCGACATCCCCCCTCCCCCTCCCACATCGACCTCCCCAGAACGCCTATGCTCGCCCCCCATCCACACCCCCACAGCCAACTCCCCCCCTTCCCCACCGGAAAACCCCAACGGAAAAAATCCAACCTTCGAAGTTTCAATCCGGAGTCCGACAGATCTCGCTCAAAGCAGTCTGAACCCGCATTCAAAAAAAAAAAAAAAAAAAAAAATTCGGGCAAGTTTTGGGCTCAAACAGTTTCCCGGTTGAGCCCCCTTCAACCAGAGCGGCCCCGGCTGGACCGGCTCAACTGGCCGGTCGCCAGCCCAGTCCTAGGTTGGTTAAGATACAGTGAAGACAAGTCAAGGGAGAAGTGCAGTGTGAAGTTGTAAACAGCCAGGAACACACCGCACCAAGCTGGGACAAAAGGCGATCCCATCTGTCCGGTACAGAAGCGGTTCCAGCGCAGTCCCATTTCATACCAAGTTCATGACATTCAGGAGTACATCGCATGCCTCCACCATAGCTACATTGAAAGCTGCTTCGCCGTCCTCTGAGTCTGGTTTTGCTGCCCCCTCTCTGCTTTGTGGACCAGCACTAGGCGCAAGGCCCTGTAGACATGCAACAATCTGGACGGACAGCAAATGCAGAAAACGGAAGCAACATCACGATGGATTGAAATTCGAAACTCTTCAGAACCGTTGGAAAACAAAACTTAGAAATTCCAAAACCTCCTCTGACGAAACCAAAGTTGTGGTCTCTGCCCACACAGAGCAGTCTGCCTAAAGAGTCTAATGACCAGAGCCTCCAGAATCCAAAAGCTTCTTGGTTTCTGCCCCTCCAACTCCTTGTTCCTATCCTCTTGCATCCCATCCCCCACCCCTCAGCCCTTACCCTTTCTTCCTTTCCAATACCTGTAACAAAGAGAACTGTACACACAGAATGATAGAGTCCAAAAATTTGGCTAAAGAAAAAAAACAGCAAACAAGTTGAAACAACTTCACCTAAGGCAGAAAAATTTCCAGAACGTTATAGACCTTGCTGTATTCCCAGACAAAGATCAAATAATAAATCAGTTATCAAACTTACTACTACTTACTAACAAATTAGTAAGAAGTTAAGAAGTGTTGACAATTCCATCTCCAGCATCAGAGAAAGATCCTGCCAAGTGCACCAAGCAAGGCACCATACAGCTATTTCTTGCTGCAGGATCTTGCTATATATCTATCTATTCGATTCTATTGTCCACAGACTCCACACACACAAACACACACACACACACACACACACACACACACACACACACACACACACACACGTATATTCGTCAAACAGAGCTGTCCGGTAAACCGTAGGCAGAGAGGGAGAAGAGGACAACAAACGAGGGGCTGTGACAAACTGTTTCGCCGGAGTTTCACCGACTCATCACGAGGCTGAACCCTATGTCGGCATATATATATATTCTCTCTTAAAATGAAAAGCGGGTCTCGCGTGGCGTGACACGCCCAGCAAGAGCACCTAGGGGGATTGAGGGGCCAGGTGCCATCCCAGCGGAGGGTCGACCAGCTGGTTCAATAATTGCACGGCACAATTTTCTTTCTGGCACATGGTCGCACGGCACTACGCAGTTGTGCAGCCCATCAGAGTAGATGCACACTCTGCTCTGCTGGCGAGCCACGCTGTGTGCGAGAAAAATGGGACTGCATGGTGCAAAGTTGCAAACTAACAGACTGTTAGAAGTCAAAGCTCAAACTTTCAAGTACCTTAAACTAACACACTCAGAACTATCTCAGGTCTTGCACTGTGTCTCCAATTCCACAGTCCATTTGTGAGACCAATATCTGCTCGCCCCTCTGCAACAATATGTACATATCAGCAATACAATGCGTAAGTTATGCATCCTGCCCTGTAGCAACCGAGGGGCATAGCAATAGACCACGATGATGATGACGACGCTGACAATGACGATGCCGATGATGATGACAAAGCATGGAGCAGAAAGGGCACTCCTGAAAACACACCTACCTTCTTATGACCATTGCATGCAACAAGTGCCTTGCACCCCTTCGTTTCCCTGGATATGGATATCAGGGCTGGAAGCAGAAATCTAACAGCATGAACTGGCCTGCAATACACCAAAGTGTCAAAGGTGCAATGATCTATAATCTACAACAGCTTCCATAACAATTTTGAATTACCTCGGGCCGGTCACCTGTGGACAGATATCAAGACTGTCGCCCTCCTTTTTTTTTCCAAAGAAAGCAGAACGTTGCAGACGGCACACAAAAGTGACAAAACACATGACAGCATGAGCTGGCGTGCAACTCACCAAGAAGTAAAACTGTAAAAGATGTACTAAACATAAGAAAACTTAGAAAAGCACAACGTCACAGACGGCACACAAAACATATGACAGCACGAACTGGGCTGCAACTCACCAAAGATTCAAAGCAGGGCTGTGCGGGCAACCAGCAGGTTGGAGCGGGCCGGATCCAACCGGGCCGGCTGGACCTCCGGTGGTCCAACCGGAATTCCGGTTGGGCCCAAAAATGGGTCATTTTTTTTAATTTTTATTTTTTTTATTTTTTTTAACATGGTTGGACTGCGCTCGCCGAGATCTCCCCCAATCCGCAAAGAAACTTTCAGCAGAGAAGTTTTGTTTCGGGGGTTGGCGGCGGGGGGTTGTATTTCAGGGGTTGAGGTCGGGGGTTGGGGGGTTTATGGTGAGGGTGTTAGTGGTGGGGTTTCAGCAAGCACGGGCTTCAGCAGACATTGACAACAACGTACCTGGCTTTCTGCAAACGTTAACGTTCCTCCCAAAAACTTTGAAAAGGGGGCTGGGGGTGTTCGTGGCAGGGTAGGGACGGTACTTCCCACCCAAAAACTTTGAAAAGGGGGGTGGGGATGATAGTGTTAGGGGGTGCTTGCCACTGCTGTCTGGTCCAAGTTGCCCGCGATACTGGTAGGGTGATGGTCCTGAGTGCTGGTCACACTGAGGTAGGATAGTAGGGATAGGAGGTGCGCTGGCTCGGCAGCATTAACGTGTCGGGAAGGTGGCCTATCCTGTCAGGACAACCATCGGCTGCTGCTGCCAGCGATCACCGCGGGTCTAGTCCTTGGGCTCTACAACACCCTGGGCTTTAAAAAAAAAAAAAAGATGCACTACATCCAACCGGGGGGGGAACCGACCCAGTCCACCGGCCAGTAGGACCGGTCCGGTTCCGGTTGGGTGAGGGCCCCCTGGTCCTACCGGGTTTGCAGCACTGATTCAAAGATATTACTTCATATAAGCAAAAAAAAGCAAACATTGCGGACAACACATAAACGCACATGAATACAAAGCATCCGAAAACTTCGCAAAGATGGGGGGAAACGGGAGGACAACAACAAAAACAATGGCGTCCAGAATCCACATGTAGTAGTACAGCTCACCATGCACAGTAGTGGGAACAAAGAAAAATAGAAAGAAACAAAGATCAAGTTCCAACTTTGTTGCCATCGTCATACAGCTGGTCACCTATAGCTAACAAGAAGAATCCTAGAGGGAAAAGAAGGAAAAATGTTAATGTAAAAAAAATAAAAAAATTACTAACCTGTTTCTGATACAGTATGTCTTCCCTCTGCTCACATGCTAAGGTTTCCCATAGGCATGACATAAACACTCAAGTGCTTATGCCATGGGCATGGCATAAATGTTTGGGATGGCATAAATGTTTGACTATTTAATATTCATGCCATAGGCATGACATAACAGGTTAACTATTTACAACACAACTGGTTAACGACGTACGGTATCCAGTTCAGTTTCGAAAAACAGAAAGTTTAGTTACGATAGCCATCCCGAGAATCCGCATCGTCCCATGGAAAAAAAAATAAAAAAAGACAATTTGCTGGACTCCAGACAAACCCGGAAGTAATCGAAATCACCATTACGCCAGAACTATTGCGGCCAAAGTACATGGATGCTGGGAGCGAAATAAATCCGACTGGAGACAGGCCGGCCTGTACATAGAAAATACAGGCCCAGAGTATACCAGGCACACTGCATTTCGCCGTTGCAGGGTCTATAGACTCTATAGACTATACTTTAAACTGGTGGTTTAAGCTTTGACTTTGAAGAATTGAGAGGTGACAAGGGCCTCGCAGGCATGTCATGGGAAACAGGCCCCGTACCTGAACGGCCAAAAAGGATAGGGCCCGGTCAGTGTTGCAACGGGCGGGGTCAAGCCCAGAAGGGAGTTGCGATCCCGGCAAGCCACGGCCACTTCCGGAAGCTACGGGTAGGGAGGCCCTACCGGCCCACCCGGATCCACACCTCGCCGTATACAAAGAGGCAGGGCAGACACACACATTCTGGCTAGGCAGTGTTGGAAGAGTATGCGACTGTGTGGGGATAGCAGCCAGCACCAGGCAGTTCGCCAGCAATAACTGGAAGAAAGGCAGTGCCACCCATAGCTGGGCTGAGCACCACACACACACACACACACACACAGGTGGTGCAAGGAAGGGAGGTGAGGGGAAGTAGGGAGAAGAAGGTCGGCAAAGGACATACCAGGTTGTCGCCAAGGAGAGCTCCACTGTGGTACATTCTTAGTCCAGACAAATCAGGGGGAACAGCATTGTACATTGGCGGAGTGCAGGCTAATTCTGAAGGGCAACAGCCTTGAGGTATCGTTGTCAAACTGAGCGGCCCCATATAACTCGAAGTTAATTAACTTGTCTGTTCATCATCAGGACTCGAACTCAGGTCTGTTTATTGACAGTTGAGGGGTATGCACTGTAGTACTGTACCATTGCTTGACATCTGCTTGGTCACATTGTTAATTCTTGTGCTGCTGTGATCATTGCTTTGTCCTTTTCTGCTAATTGCCTGGTCAACTTGCAAATTTGAGCTTCTCCAGTGTGGTTTCTCTGCCGAATGTTGCAATCTGTTGCTTGCCTCTAGGGAGTCTAAGCACAACCTTCAGCAAGACAGAACTCACCTCTCTTCATCCTTTGCAGTTATGGACAACATAAACCTGAGCAGTCGCAGCACCTGCTCCTTGTGGGCACCCACTGCTTCAGCAAGGTATCTGTCCCCCCGCCCCCCCGCCAGTGCCATGGCACCAAAAGACATAGATAGGGATAATAAATCAGTGGAGAACTTCAATTATTATCAATTAATTCACCAAAGGGCCAGCCATCCCACAGGGCCATCGTTGTACCAGAGGGCTATTCCACAGGAGGCCACCCCACCACTAGCCAAAATTATTTAACCAAAGGGCCATCCCACAGGGCTATTGTTGTACCCAGGGGCAATCCAACAGGGCCATTTGACAGAACCCAAATTATTTAACCGAAGCGTCATCCCACAGGGCCAATGGCAGAGAAGTCATTATTGTACCGCAGGGCCACTACGTACATAGGGGTCATAAATTCTCTATAATCTAATACCACATACCTCTTAGCTCTCTCATGCTCGCACCCTCAACCTGCTGTTCCTTCAACTTTATTGGGCATTCTCTTGTCGCTTGAGAGATCTCAACAGCATCTAAAAATGCACACACGCTGTGGAGCTACCATCTTCCCCCGAACATAACACATGCATTGTACTCGAGTTTTCAGGAAATTCAAAAAATTGAATAGAGCGCATAATACGCACATGCGTTGTATTTGAAAGGTGGACTGTTCGAATAGAACACACATGCCTTGTCTTTGAATAGAAAGAAACCTATGCGCTGTATTGTTTACAACTCATATGCGTTATGTTCAGGGGAAGACGGTAGCTCTCCGCTCATGCATTGAAAATGATGGTCTTCCCGCAAACTCAACAGACCATCATCACGACTGTATAGAGGCGGACAGATAGCTCGTATACATTCATCATGACAGTCCATTGCATCAGAGCGGACGGTAGTTCATTGCATTGCACATGTGCTTGTGGTTTTGCCTTAACTGCCAATAAATTTGCTGAGTTTGCTGGACTTAGCTCCCATGCTCGATGAGATATTCATTCTACTCTGCTGATCGGTCGGTGGACCATCGACCGGTCAGTCTGACTGGTCGGCAGCAGATCCGTCAGTATGCTACCCTGTATATGCGCATAAAATATATGCAACAGCTGGGTTACCAGGCGGGGCGCCCCGGGTTGGCTCAGATTGGCCTGGGTGGCCCAACCGGGCCAGCTCCGGGCAAAGCCCCGGTCAAGGTCCCAGGCAGTCCCTGTGCTGAAAAAAAATAGAAAACTGAAAAAGAAACCTATGTCATGCAGATTTGCAATTCAAAGGGTGACCCCGAAATTCATTATGAAATCTGAAAAAGCGAAAAAAAAACAACAAAATAGTAAAATACTAGACTAGTTCGACAGTTGAAAATTTGTTTAATAACTTTAATTGACTTTTGACCTTTGGCCCGTGTTGCATACCCCGACGGTTGGTGGCCCTTGACTGGTGAGATGTCGACCAGCCGACCGGTCGGCTGGTCGGCACCTACCGGTCGGGGGATGTCGGCACCCGGCATCTTTTTTTTGGGGGGGGAGGTCATAACTCCTAATAATCCCACCAACACCCCCATACCCGCCCCCAATACCCCCATACACCCCCCCAACACCCCCAAACCGCCCCCCAACACCCTCATACCCCCCCCAATACCCCTATACCACACCTATATCCCCCTATACCCCCCATATACCTACCCCCCCGCTCCCCCCCCGCCCATACCCGCCCTCATCCCCAAAAGTTTCTCTGCGGATTTGGGCTGTACTCAGCAAGCGCAGTACAGCCGCCAACTCAAATTTGAAAAAAAATCAGTGGATGGCTGTTTTCTGACTGGTCGGCAGACCGCCGACCGGTCCGTCCTACTGGTTGGCTGCAAAACATTTGGCGGTCGGGGTCGGCGGTCTGGAGGTATGCAACCCTGCTTTTGGCTGTTTAACACCACATTCTCAATCCTCTGGTCTGACACATATTACAAAGAGTAGGTGCAGTGACTGGCCATTGCTCGGCGCTAGCACCGCCGATTTCCCCCATCGGCAATGCCTGCCCACCCCTCGTCGCCGTGATGAGGGACTGGTACAGCCGTGCTCTCGCACCACAGCTGTGATGCAAACCTACCCCGTGGGCTGGGGAGAGATCCGGGTTGGTTGGTGTTCCCCCGTACTATAAATAGACTGGTGAGAGGATGAGATAGATGCGTACTACCAAGAAAGATGAAATAGATTGAGAGAAGAACATAGATTAAAAAAAAAAAAAAAGAAAAGAACTTAACGCGATCTTACCTTCCCACTGCTCTGACAGAAGCCAGCATGATGTCGCTCTGGGTTCTCTCCTTTTTCTGTCAATCAGAGAAAAAAACACAAGAAAGAGAAAAGAAATGAGCATCACGGGGTTACGCTCAATGGTAGGGTACTAAGGGTAGACATTTACGAAAGTGGGCTCAAGTTGAGAATAGGTTCAGTTTAGGTACAGTTTAGATATACATTAGGTACAGATTCAGTACGGCATTAGGTACGGGCATTAGGTAAGGCATTAGGAACGGCATTAGGAACGGCATTAGGAACAGCATTGCATACGGCATTAGGTACAGAGTCTACAGACTAAGTTGCAATTAACCCAAATCACGTTATTCAGATTAGGTACAGATTAGATCTAGATTAGGAATAGATTAGGCATTCTACTAGGTACAGGTACGGCATTAGCTACACACTAAGTTTTGATGAACCCACGTCACGCTATCCAGATCAGGTACAGACCAGTACAGGTTGGGTACAGATTAGATATAGAGTAGATATTTGATTAGGTACGATAAGGCATAGATTAGGTGTAGCTCGAGTACAGATCAGGTATAGAGTAGATATTTGATTAGGTACAGATAAGGTATTAGATTAGGTATAGTAGATATAGATTAGGTATAGATCAGGTACAGACTAAGTTCTAATGAACCCATACAGATTAGGTGAGGTGTAAGGTAGGTACAGACTAAGTTGCAATGAAGCCAGACTTCTTTCAAAGCTGACAATCAAATCGCAAATGAACTCATGAGGCTCAAATCAACAACGGCAACTGGAATGAGATAGCAATGCACAACAAGACTGTTGTGGCATACTGTGTAGCCACACGGGCCCTGCAGGGCCCGTCCCGGACATTCAGCCTAAAAGCCTAAAACTTAGGGCTTACACACCCCGGTCGTTTCAGCCTGGAAGCTGAAAAACGAGGGCCTGCAGGCCCTACCCCGTTTCAGCCTATTTCTGGGTCTTTTCAGACCCAGAGTTTTCAGCCGGAAACGGAGGGCCATTTTCAGGCCCTCATTGTTTCGACATGCCCCTTAGACTCAGGCACATAAACAGGGATGCGGAACAGGCCAAGAATAGCCTGTTCCTCATGTGCTCGAGCAGGAGCTGCAGCTGCAGCCCCTGCCTGCCTTCGACATTGGTAAGGGCAGCCTCTTGGACTGCTCGCACGGGTCAGGAGGCACACCCGAGAAGTACATAAGACTGTCCTAGGCACTTCCCAGGGAGGTAGTTCAGTAGGGCACGAGTAGTCTTCAGTTTTCGGCYGCAGCAYTCAGGAGGAGCGCTGCAGTAGTCTTCAGCGCTAGGCAGTAGGGATTAGCGCTAGCTGTAGTCTTCGGCGCTGGGCGCCATAGCTGTAGCTGTAGTCTTCAGCGCTGGGCGCTGGTAGGTGGTAGATCGTATAGTGGGAGAGACACTGGCGGAGGCCAGTGATACTTACCTGTGGCGCCATCGCTCCAGCTCCATCTTCGTGGTACCTGCATCAAGGCGCCAATTTCACAGGTTAGTACTGGACACAGAGAGAGAGAGAGAGTTCTTCTTCTTCCTCTTCTAAGTCCACCTTCTCTTCTCACCCTCTCGCCACCTGACTTCTCAGACTACGACAGAGAGAGACAGAGTTGTSACTTGAGACTTGACGACATTGGATCCAGACTTGACATTTGGGATTCAGACATTCCGACGAGGGACTATCTGGGCTTGTGCCGAAGACTTGGTGTTGACGACATTCCCATCTTCCCCCTCCTCTTCGTCTATCCCCTTCCTCTTTGTCTGTGTATGGTATGGGCTGGTGCAGTCTTCCYGTGTGAAGCGCCAGACCCATTCACACCATGATGATGTATGTTCAGGACTGCATTACAACATTGATTGTTCGGATCACTGGTATGTAAGTCTTCCGCTGTGTTATCTTGTACTTTGTATTGAAAGGTCGGTTCTTGTTCTGGTCTGCACGTTACAGTATGCAACAACTGTGCAACGGAGAAGAGCAAGAGCATGGAAATATCTTCAAATCCAAACCTACAAGCAATGAGTACAAAGTGCAAGTTGCTTATCCCTCTTCTTTTCCCGGAAATCCTCTCTTGCCACCTCAACGTCTCCTCTAGCTACTGGTTTACTTCTCCCCACTCCTTCACCGCCAAACCCGGCACAGCGTCACTCTCGAAGCCAATCTTTCTCTCTTGCTCGCTTACCCAAGGCTAGCGCAATACTGCTGGAACTCGAGACTGTCTGGACTCAAATTGCTGCTTTAGCTTCCTTACCCTCCTCCTCCTCCTCCCTTTCTTCCTCCCCCTCCTGCCCCTCAATTTCTGTCCACACCAATGGCCATTCATTCCATGAGTTAAGAGAGAGAGAGAGAGAGAGAGAGACAGAGAGAGAGAGAGAGAGAGAGAGAACTCAGTGAACAAGTTCTTAGCCCTATTCTTTTCTGGGCCTTGTTGTCCCTTTTATTTTTTTCCTTTTATGATTAACTAATGCATCTCTTCCTTGAGCGTCGGCCATGCTAATCTTCTCTGTATCGTTCCGATTTTAACGGATATCCGGAAGGACATTTTTTAATGATTTTTTTTTTCATTTTCTTTACTATGCTTCTTCAGGAAGGTTGATCAGTACCTGCCTTGTGGCTGAATGGTATGCACTAGTAACCATTGACAATGAGATGATGATTCAACATCCTCATACCTACATACCTTCAATAATGTCAGTGGCCACCCGTCCTTTTAACTGAACTCAGTGAACTGAAAAAAAAAAAAAAAAAAAAGAAGTGGCCGCTGATTGTTCTTGGCCGCACAGGACATCAGCCCACAACAGGAAGCCAATTAAACCAGCACCCAGTTAAAGTTCCTTGCCACCCTCAGCGCTAAAGCCTAAACCCTAAACCCTACGAAACCCTAAACCCTTAAAAACCCTACGCCCTAGACCTTTCTTGGCACCGGTGACGTAAAGCTCATCTCGGATATCAAAACGCACTACCCATGTCAGTGATCAGCCAGAACTGCCGGTGGCAGCAGAATAGAATGGACGGTCACGATCGCATGATGATAGCTAGCACTGCGAAAAGCGAGGGAGCAGATCGGCGGCCTCTTATTGCAGTGCAGTGCTAGTCATAGTCATGTAATCATGGGGATTGGATGATGAAGATCATTTGACTAACTCAGTTGCATGCACACCCTACCTCCTCCTCCCAATGTGATGCATAAATTAAACGAAACGAAACAAAACAAAACGAAACGAGACGAAACGAAACAAAACGAAACAAAACGAAACAAAACGAAACGAGATGAAACGAAAAAAAAAAAAAAAANNNNTTTCTGATATTCGCATTTCGTTCTATCTGAAAACTTCTGATATTAGCAGTTCGTTTTTAAGTGACAAATATCTGAAAATTTCTGGTAAATCGCATTTCGTTTTGTCTGAAAATTCCCGACGGATATTTCGCATACATAGCTGAAATTTCTGAAGTTAGTATTTCGTTTCTTAGGCATTTTGGGATAACGATAGAAGTGGTCACATTCTCGGAAACTGAAATTGTTCTTTTCTGAAAATCGAATTTCCATTCTATCTCGCAAAGTTTTTTTTGAAAACCGAAATCTTGCGAAGCCTACCAATATTACGTTAGGCATATTCGGAGGTTGCTATATTCTCAGAAACTGGATTCGTTCTTTTCTGAAAATCGCATCTTTACTCCATTTCGCAAAAAAAAAAATTTCAAGATCGCAGTTTGTAAAAGCCGAAACTTTGCGGAATCTAGCCTAGATCTCGTTCATAATACTCTTCTGACAGGTCCTACTGATAATAGATCGACAGATATACAAAAAAAAAAAAAAAAGGAAGTAGTTGATTACGGCCGGAGGAAATATTGTTAGGTTGGTTTCCTACCTGCGTTTTCCCTCCCACCCACCCTTTGCATGCATTTCCGTGTTGGTATGGTGACACGTCAGCTACAGTGACATGTCAGCAGGCCACGTCAACAGTGACACGTCAGCTACAGTGACACGTCACCAGGCCACGTCAGCAGTGCCACATCAGCAGTGCCACGTCAGACACAGTGCCACATAAGCAGTGCCACATCAGCAGTGCCATGTCAGACACAGTGCCACATAAGCAGTGCCACATCAGCAGTGCCACGTCAGACACAGTGCCACGTAAGCAGTGCCACATCAGCAGTGCCACGTAAGCAGTGCCACGTCAGACACAGTGCCACATCAGACAGTGCCACGTCAGCAGTGCCACGTCAGCAGTGCCACGTCAGCAGTGCCACATCAGCAGTGCCACGTCAGCAACATGACGGGCCTGCCGGGCCAACTGGCCAATGAGCCCATTGCCGACTACAAAAAGCGCGTCCATGCTCAGCTTGCTGCAATCGAGGCTGAGGAACAACGCCAGCTGGCAGTCAAAGCTGCCCAGCTACAGGCTGATGAAGCGGCAACAGCAGAGAAGCTGCGGCTACAGGCCGAAGCAGACGCAGATGCCCAGGCTCGCCGCAAGGAAGCCCAGGCTCTGCTCCAGCCGCATGAAGCCAGCAGCATCGAGAAACTCAAGTACTGGGACTTTGAACCGAACTGCGACGAGCCAACACCGGAAGAGCATCATAGGGAGTTCATGGCCAAGCTCGTGAGCAGGTTGGTTTACATGTGTAACCACCTACAGTCCGAGCTGGCAAACCTCCAGCAGGCCGTGCGGAATTACAAGACTGAGCACGAGGATGCCACACGGGCACTGGACGCCCGTGTACTAGGCCTGGAACAGGCTGTACCACGACCAGATGCTGGAGCTTCCAGCAGTGCATCCTCTAGCCGCCAACTGGAGGAACGCGTTGACCACGTAGTGGCAATGCTAGGAGACTTAAGTGCCTTCACAGAGCCGGCCACCATCAGCCAGCGGTTCGAGTTGCTGGACACTAAGATCAGTCAGCAACAGCAGACTGACCATAGCCACAACAACAGCTCGGCGAGGCCATACAAGATGCCGACGTTCCGGATCGAGAAATTTGATGACTACACACATCAAGACCCGTTCGTCTGGTGGCAAGGATTTACAACAGAGTTGGGGATTCACGAAGTCCCTGACCATCTGTTCATCAGTGCTCTGTTCATCAACACCAAGGGAGGATGTCAGATCTGGCTCAGCCACATGGCAACCATCCACGGCGTCCAGGTTTCAGACCTGTACAAGAAGGTCTCCTGGGAGGACATGACCAAGGAATGGAAGAAGCGGTTCATCGTCGACGATGCCCCGGCACTCGCCGTCAACCGCATCTTCACGATGGCTCAAGGGAGCACACCGATACGTGACTGGCTCACGGATTGGCAGAAAATCGTGGCAACGCCCGATTTGGACTTCGTCATTTCCGCATCTACGGCGTGAGTTCTACAACAGGTCATGCGCCGCTCTCAGCCTCGCACTGGGTGATCGCGAGCAGCACAGCACTTTCGCAGAGATCATCAACAAGGCGAGAGAGCTCATCAAGACTAACAGGCCGGCTGCACACGAGAAGTCCACGTGGCAGCCAACCTATGTGGAGAAGGTACGAACTGGTCTGCGACAGCAGCAGTTCACTGCAGTCCAGTCGGACAGTGGAGATAACCCAGCAGCCACTCCAGCAACAAGTGACGGAGATCAGGTGGCTGCTGTCCAGCCGTGAAGCAACAACAAACCCCGCAACAATGGGAAGGCGAAATCCGCATCGCAGGCCGGAAATGGACAGCAGGTACAAGTTCCATGGGTCAAGTTCGGCTTGACCGAGGCGGAGTACAAGGTACGTGGCCGCTACAGCAGCTGCTATTGGTGCAACAGCACCAAGCACAAGACCTCCCTGTGCCAAGATCAGGGCAAGGAGGATGTGCGACCCCGCCTCATCTCGGGAAACTGAGCTCCGCGGAAGGTGAGGCGACTCCACCTTCTACTCCGCCAAATTCGGCCGCCTTGCTAGCGGCCTCCTGCACATCTGGGGAGAACGCGAATGTCGCAAGTTCTCGTTACTCTTACGAGGACTATGCTGTCCACTTGGTTCCACCGCTGGACCAACCGCTCCACGTGCAACAATCCATCGCATGCACGGTTTCATCACCATCGGCAACCGATTCGGCACCTTCGCCTCAATCTACCGCCGGGGATTCGACGTCATGGTCAAGACTTGAAGAGCTCGACCCATTGACGTTCACGGACTTCCAGTGGATGCCCGTTCCGTCGACCGGACGATTGCCGAAACCACATTGCAATGTGCTAATAGCACAATTGCGGGAGTACCAGCTCCGTTGATGGACGCCGGAGCAGAGGTTGTCGACCTTCACGCTTACATCGCGAAGATCGACCGCGAGTTCAAGACGCAACGGTACGACGACATCGACGCACCATTGCTATACGTACGCATTCAGATTGGAGAGGCGACCTGCAGTGCCTTGATCGATTGCGGAGCATCTCGCAACTACATCAGCCAGGACTTTATGGTGCGCGTCGGCCTTGGCCCACGCGTCCGAAGGAAGGCCTAGCCTACGCAAGTCACATTGGCGGACGGTCACACGCACAAGTCCATCGACCGGTGCATTGACGACGTCCCACTGTGCTTTGCCCCTCACGCAAGTGAGGCGGTGTCCTTTGACATTCTGGACACCAAATTTGACATGATCTTGGGCATGTCATGGCTGCGAAGCGAGGATCACCCGGTGAACTTCTTCCACCGCACCGTTCACATTCATGATCGGAACGGAGTACTAGTTCCATGCACGGTGCCTCTTCCTCATCCTTCGATCAGCTGCCACGTGGTATCCGCCGCAAGCATGCGAGCTTCCATCATCAGAGACGACATCGAGGAGATGGGGGTGTGTTTTCTMCACGCCCTCCCGCCACATGACGCCTCATCGACGGACTCACCTTCGGATCCACGCATCACCGAGCTTCTCGAAGCCTACAGCGACGTGTTCGAAGGCCCGCACGGAGTAGTACCGGATCGACCCATCCGCCACGAGATCATCCTCGAGGACGGGGCCGTACCTCCTCGCGGTTGTATCTACCGAATGAGCGAGGAAGAGTTAAGTGTGCTTCGGGCACAACTCGATGACCTTCTGGAGAAAGGCTGGATTCGGCCTAGCTCATCGCCATACGGTGGTCCTGTTCTCTTCGTCCGGAAGAAGAACAAGGACCTGCGGTTGTGCATCGATTATCGCAAGCTCAACGCGCAGACGATCAGGAACGCCGGCCCTCTCCCACGCATCGACGACCTTCTCGAGCGATTGGGCGGCGCCCAGTTTTTCTCTAAGCTGGATCTCAAGTCAGGATACCACCAACTCGAGATTCGCAAGGAGGATCGCTACAAGACCGCGTTCAAGACACGGTATGGGCATTACGAATGGCTGGTCATGCCGTTTGGCCTTACGAATGCCCCAGCCACTTTCCAAGCGGCTATGACAACGGAGTTCCGACACATGCTGGATCGGTTTGTACTCATCTACCTCGACATCTTGGTGTATAGTCGGAGTTTGGACGAGCATGTGGAACACCTGCGCACCGTTTTGGAGCGGCYACGACAAGCCAAGTACAAAGCAAACCGC